TAACTCACAAACGATTTGCTTAATCGAAAAAAAACACAGAATAAAAACTAATTTCGTTTGAACTTAACTCGGCTGTAAGCCAATTCTTTACATCAAGAGCTTTATTTTTTTTTTTTTTTTTTGTGCCCAATCGCCGGTTCGAATTTAATTGGAAAAGGCGTTGCCAACCGGCCATTCTCTTGGCCAGGCCAAAATGATTCGTTTAATTCGGCGCAAAGGTTGCAGACTCCGCTTCTAATTCTAATTCTAAATTCTAAATTCTAAATTTAATTCTTATTCCGACTCGAATTCAGACACTTCTCCGAGTCCGATGTCAGGTGGCATTTATTTGTTTGTTCAGCCATTAAAGTAATTATAGTATTAATAAATCTCGCCGCTGGCTGCCAACGAAGGTCGCCCCACAATAATATCAAATTTTTTTGTGTTGTTTGAAGTGCTTTTGAAAGGCATTTTGGATACCGATCACCTGGCCGATCAATGGCCGTGCAGAACTTATTGTTTTGTTAAATGAGCCGCAAATTGGAAATCACTTTTGTTCAGTTCTCCGAAGAAGCTTGTGCAATCTGCCACTTAAATCGAAATAAAGTTATGCACTTACAAAGCTACAAAACTGTGAACAGTAAACGATCATTCATTGGAATAATACCAGATGGATGCTCATAATTGAAACATAAACTTTGAAAATTTTATATGAAATTTACATAATAAGCGGGGGGGCAATAAATTCAAGACCAAAAAAGGGGGGCATTGTTTTTAATGGGCAATTTTTTGATAAGATTTCTCATGATTGCATCAATCGATTTGCATAACTCTCCCGCCAAAATCGGAGCATTCATTACGAAAAAAAATGAACGCATCGTATCGTCTGGTCAATAAACTTATTGACCGACTTAGATATGACACCTGACCACTATATATATATATATATCTCTATCTGGCTAAAAGAGACGCCCCCTCGCCGGTTTGCCTTCAACGCGTCCAGCTTGCTGCTCCACTTTCATGGCATTTACTTTCGCTTTCTGTTTTCAGTTTTCTGTTTTCAGTTTTATTGCTGCTATTTTTCTGTATTTTTTCTGTCTGTTGATATTTTCGATTTTGGCCAGAGCTCTCATCGCCGCTTTGTTGTGTGGCTTTTGGGCATCGGCTTATTGGGTTATGGCCCAAAGCGTTGACGGCTGCTGGGCTGCGTTTTTTTTTTTTGGCCCAAAGCTTATCTGGCTTGAGCCATCGCCACTGATGGGCGACCTTGAGACCGTTACCGGTTTCTTCGGGCCTGGCCAGTCTTGCATGAGGTTTGTTTGTTTTTTTCCTCTTTTCAATCCGCTTTTAGCTCTGACTCTGACACTGTCCATCTTTAATCGTGGTCGAAACTAGGGGTCAGTCCAATGGGTTAACAGGTAGTTAACCTCTGAAAATTCCAGAAAAAATACCATATCTTAGGGAAGAAAATTGAACAGGAAAAGTGTAAGATCGAATGCTCTTGGAAGTGCTTTTAAAAGGTTGTTAACCTCGAAAAATCCAGAATTTTTCCATAACTAAGGAGAGTAAATTGAAGAGGAAAAATATGTTCTTGGCAGAAGGAAGTTAACCTCTGAAAATTCCAGAAACTTTTCCATATCTTTGGGGTAAAAATTAAAGAGGAAAATATTATTCTTGACGGTGTTTTTAGAAGGTAGTTAACCTCTAAAAAATTCCAGAAAATGTTCCATATCTTTAAAAAGAAAATCGAAGAGGAAAAGTGTAAAAGAGAATGCTCTTGGAAGTGATTTTAAAATATAGTTAACCTCTGAAAATTACAGAAAATTGTCTATATCTTGGGGGAGAAAATTAAAGAGGAAAAGTGTAAGAGAGAATGCTCTTTGAAGTCGATTTTTAAATATAGTTAACCTCTGAAAATTCCAGAAAATGTTCCATATCTTTAAAAAGAAAATAAAAGAGGAAGAGTGTAAAAGAAAATACTTTTGAATAGAATTTAAAAGGTAGTTAATCAAGAAAAAGAATGCTTTTAAAAATGCTCTTGAAATAAATATTATTTCTGAATATTGAATTAAGTTTTTAATAATTATGAAACTTTAAAATCATTGTAAATTGATTTCTACTCACTCTTCTTTACTGTTTTTTAGTATCTCCTTACTATATTTTATGTTCCGTCCTAAAAACTTTTCTCGAAAATACTTTCCAAATTGCTAATGAAACAGACATACTTGGAATTTATCTGTTAATTATTTACAATTTAATTTCAAGCTTTCAAAAACTCACAAAACAATATTATTTCTTCCCATATGGCAGTCATAAAAGAATAATAAAACTCTCCCCTTTTTTTTTGGCGCATTGCCAATACATATATATAGATATATATATTTGCTAAGTGATTTTTGGCTTTTGTTAATTGATTTATGAAGCAATTAACGCATTCGTGTCTTCTTCGCGCTGTTGCCAAATTTCGGTAGCCAGACTCGATTAATGAACGATCGCTAATCATTCCCCTCTCACCTCTTAAACACATTTCCCTTCCCCCCGAAATTCCCCAATCCCGTCGTAAAGTTGTTTTGGGATAGACCTGACCTATGGCCAGCATTTTGAGTTGAGGCTTAGCCCAGTTAGCAAGTTCGTTGCCTAAGTCTTTTGTTTGGCACACATGGGCAGCGGGGAATTTCGGTGCTTTTCCCCTTTTTTTTAGCTTTTTAGCAGCTTTATGTATATGAAATACAGTGTAAGCTCAATAAAAGGGAAATAATTAATAATTTTTATTAAATTAATACATTAACTTTTGGTTGAGAAGTTTTTTCCTGTTTAAATTCTTGTTAAAAGCACGGAAATTATATTTTTATATTATTAGCACAATTTGTATTACTTTTAATTTATATTAAATTTCTAAAATATCTATATATAGAGTGCCCACTGTAATCCTCCACAACTCACCTTAAATATGTATATACAATATAAAGATGCGGCTTGCCAAACTTAATTGCAATGCGAACTTTTTTACACACACAAAACAACACTTTTGAGCGCCCAAAAAAATATATAATTGAGTTCATTAACAATTTCAAAATGCAAATAAACCAGCACAGAAACCGCACACAAAACAAAATAAAAATAAAAATCAACAAATAAACAAAAACTTAAGCAGAGGTTTTTCAAATTAAAAAACGCGTCAACTAAACGGCCCGCAAAATGTCACTTGGTCTTGTGAAAGATTCACGCATAACTGAAAGCCAACTCTCCGAATGGAAAAATGTGCGGCTCCGTTTTGGCCACTTTGGCGACAGAGACAGCACACAGAAAGAGAGAGAGATAGAGAGAGAGAGAGTGAGAGAAAGAGTAAAAGAGAACGAGAGAAAGCACGAGGTAAAAGCATTTAAATGCAGAAAGAAAGTGACACAACGCCCGCTCCACTGCCCAAAAAATCGAGTACATAGGCCCAGAGAAAGGTAATGAGGAAAACACGATTATCGAGAGGCGAAGACTGAGGAAAAGAGAAATAAGAGGTTTAAAAAATATAGAGATATTTATAAAAAATATATAAATAAATAGAATATCATAAAATGATGTAGTTTTTATTAAAGTAGAGTGTCTGAGAGAAAGGAAGTACAAAAAGATAGAGTTATTTATAAATGGTGATATTTATAAAGTGAGATATTTCTAAAAATATAATAATAATATCAAAATAATAATAATAAAAATAAGATAAACAAAGAAAAGAGAAAGATAAAGGGAGAGAAAAGAGGAGGTGAGAATGCAGCTCTAAAGGTAGCGATAAAAATATATAAATAATAATAAAAAACGACATATTTATAAAAATATGTATATAGTATAAAAATAATAATATTATTTTAATAATAATATTATATTGATAATAATATTAAATTTTATATTATTTATATTTTTTCAAATGTTATATTATCATATTATTATTTTGATTTTATTTTTATAATTTTATAAATATTTCAATATTTTTGGAGCTTCTATATGTCCCTTTTCTGTCTTTCTCTCTGGTTTTCTAATACAATAAAAACAAATTAGAAATAGAAGATTTAAAATATATTAATTTAATAAAAACAAGCATGCTTATGTTTTTCCAAGATTTCTAATTAATTTCCAAATTCTTTTATTTGATATTTTCCTCCAACTCAGTTCAAAGCATAAATAATAAAAAGCGACATATTTATAAAATATGTATAAAGCATAAAAATAATAATATTAGAATAAAACTAATATTATATTTTTCTATTATTTATATATTTTTTTAAATATTATGTTATCATATAATTAGTTTGATATTATTTTTCTAAATATCTCTATACTTTTTGGAGCTCCTATATCACCACCTTTTTCTCTTTCTCAAATACTCTAATTTAAAAAAAAAGATTACTAGAAATAGAAGATTTAAAATATTTAAAAAATATTAACTTAATAAAAACAAAGTTTATATATTTTTTCCTAAGACCTACTACTATTTTCCATACTCTTTTATTTTATATTCCTCTCATACTAAGCTCGAAGCACCTCAAAGAAAACCTTACTTCAAAGTTCACTGCTCTTTGTGATACCCTTTAAACCCCCCATCTAAAATTGTTAACCCCTCAAAAAGTTCACTTAAACTTTAATTTAAATGTTGCTTCCGCATTTGAGCGATTTCCCAATTTATTTAGCGATTTGCCCCACCGAATCCTAAGGGGGAGTGGCACCCAGAGAGGTTCCAAATGAATTCCAGCGGATCTGTTGCATCAGCCACCGTCCAGGCCAAGTTACGCCATTTGATTTAAGGCCCTTTTTTTACGCTTTCTTAGCTGCCCAAGTGACCAACACACAACAAAGTCTTCCTCCGCATTTCTTTTTTCACTTTGTTTAATTATTTATTACAAGCTAGCAAAAAAAAAAACGCACAACAATTAACGTAACTATATGGTAAATCGAAATGAAAACAAACAGAGAAATTAATGATGCAACCCGGAATGGGATTACACATTAATATTTCTCCATCTCATCGGTGGCTTCTAGAATGGCTCAAAGTCATGATTGTGCGGTGACCAGGATCGATGATGATCCGCCGGTTTGGCATGATGGCCATTACTGCTGCTGGCCAGGATACCCTTGACGGCACCCGAGGCACCACCAGAGGCACCCAGCCCGGCATTTAGTATAATTCCCAGGGCATTGCTCACCAGGTGCGAAGCCACCTGCTTCACAAATCCTCCGGAATCAAAGTGATTTGCCGCAGCAGCTGCCCAACCACCGCCTCCCTCCTTCTTTTTCCGTGGGCGTGGCAATTCCGCACTGCCATGCCTCTCCTCGGAACCCTCCTCCGAGTTTTGCCGGAAATTGGCCTCAAAAAAACTGGTTATTAGGTTCTTGGTAAAGGTCAAGGGTTGCGGTGGTCCCTCCTCCTCGGGATCCTAAAAGAAAAATGTAACAATTTTCTTATATAATTTTATATAGTTTAAAAGTCTGTTTATAAGGTTAGTAGGACAGTTAAGAGTTGGGTAATGAAAGGAGTAGAAGTTTGAAGTAAAATAAAAGAAGGATAAATACTGCGCTAGCTGCAGCCACAACGGTGCCCAGAAAGTTGCCCAGAAACTGGCCATTGGCTATCTGAAAATATAGGTAATTAATTAATTAAACAATTAATAAATATTATTTGTCAATTATTATTCTTACCGCTCCACCGCCTCCTGAAAGACCATCCAAGGCAGTGCCCACATATTTACCCAGAACCAGGCCAAAGTTCTTTTTGCCGCCAAGAAGTCCAGAAATTAGCGAAGTAGAAGTTTGTATCAAACCCTCAATGTCCAGGCCACCAGGCTAAAAAGGACACTCCATTTAATACAACTGCTTCAAGGACTTTTCCCCCACTTAAACTCACGCCAAATAAAGTGGAAACAACGCCTGTGAGGGCTCCTATGAGAGCTCCCACATCCGAGCCACCTTCGCCCTGGAAATGATTCAAATCAGAACTCATTCTATATGATTTAAAAGTATTTCCACAGACTCACACCGCTCAGGCTTCCTATGATTCCAACAAGACCACCTCCTCCTGTGGCTCCTCCTCCGCCATCACCTTCCATCTCGCCATCTTCGTCTCCATCATCCGTGGCCAATTCCGAGGATCCTGCGGCAACAGCTTCCGTTTCCTGCTTCTCCGGCTTGACATTCACTTGGACTTTACCTTTCGCCTTGGCTGTAACATTTGGCGACTTCAAGAGGCCATTAGAAAAGGGTTAGGTGAACCAAGTCGGTATTGGGTTAGCTCAGGAATTGCTTCAGGGTTCTACTTTTAGGTTAGTCACAAAGAGTTTGAAGCTATTGTTTGACTTACCTTTTCGGTAAGCTCCTCATCCTCCAGCTCGGTTGCATCCAGTGGCTCTATTTTCAGCTGTCTTGGAGGTCGCTGCTCGACCATATTCTCTCGGAAGTCATCCTGGAAGCGCAAGTCATGAGCCTGATGTTTAAGAAAGTCATATTTCTTAGCACTGTTCGATTTCTCCGGTGTTTTTCCGGACATACCTCTGATAGTATGGATTTGATAATCCTCATTTCCTGCGGCATTTCTTGCTGTTTCCCCGGCTGCTCCTCCTGCTCCTCCAATTCCGCCTCCTTTTCCTTTTTGACTTGCCTTTTGTGAATCACCTTTTGCTTGGCCTTGGCCAGGACACCATCTTCCGAAGCTGTTTCCAGTAAATGCTGCAATGCACCTTCGATTTTGGCCTCCAGTTCGGTTTTCATTTGCGGCACCTGCTTGAGAATGTTGAGCCTCAACTGACCCAATCTCTCGCCTAAATGCGGTTTATCCGTAATGTCAGCGGAGAGCTCCTGCTGATGCAGTTCCTCCGCCTTCTGCTGCTGGGCCATCTCCTTTAACTCCGATCGGAACTCATGATCATCCTTGGAGTGCGCCAGCACATCCATCACTCGAGTGAGAATTCCTAAAGCTCTCTGATCCCTGGACAACTGATGCTCAATGGCATCGATCTTGGCCAGCACCAGGTTGCTTTCCGTGAGATTTGTCTGATGAACTAACTCTCGTATGGCTTCAACTAGGTTCTGTTCCATTTGCTCCTCCGCCTGTCGAGCTCCATTAAGTACTCCTATGCCAGTCACAGCTCTAAGCTCCTCCCTGGGTAGAATCCTCTCCAGCCTGCGATAGGCAGTGATTGCTTTAAGGTAATGTGCTTGCAGCTCCATTCCCTGAACACCGGGCCGGCAGTCAGCGAATCCTGGCAAAAGGACTAATCCCAGGCCCAGCAATAAAAGCAGGAGCAACGATCGCGGCACTCGCAGGTTCTCCATTGGCTGATCGAAATGAAACTGCGACCAGGAGGCAACGATACTGTCTCATATAACATTGTCTGGTCGATGGATCGATCGATCCATTCACGGTTTGTTGCATCCCAGATCCTCCCACAAGACCGCCTCCACTTTGACCATATTGTTGGTGACTTTTGTCGATTGTGCAATATGTGAAGCCGATCAGTGTGGCATTTCTTGGCCTGCTTCTTTGAACGCAAATTTTCCGACATCTTAATTAGGGGGCGGTGTCTTCTTTTCCACGAGCTAGTTGAGTTTTCCGGCTGAAACCAGGTGACATTACTCAATCATAAATGAAATTCAATCAAAGATATGTTCAATTATTCAAACTTTGATTTTGATTTAAGTTTTAAGTTACAGTATTCCATATAGTCTATATTTTTCCCCTTCTTAAACTAATGCTTATAATAAATAACTTTTATTATACCTAAAGACCCATCTTAAACTTCAAATAAACTTTAAGTTAATATAATTAATCATAATTATAAAGAAGTATGTAGCTTCCCCGTCTAAATTATGATGAGTTGTAATTACTATTCCTCACACCCATTTTCATTAGTTTTCAAGTTTACTAAGACCATATTTTCAGAATCAGAAGCCATTTAGACGCTCTGCTAATGGGGCCATTTCCCCTTACCGGTCACTGAGAGGTAATTGAAATTAAGGTCTTACATAAAAGCAAAGCTTTTAAACAACAAGCCGAAAAAAATGTGTGTGGAAAATGGAAAAGTGAAGACAGGTGCAGGTGTCGCAGTTATGCGTGACTGTTAATTAGCATCGGCCATTAGATAAATGGCCGAGGGATTAAGCTAGGCCCCCGTGATGATCGCTGGGGTTACTGACTGCGACTGGGATTATCCTAAGGGGAGGGGGGAGGTTATTACGTGAGTGGAAATTGCATGGGCGGCGACCAAGGGGGGAGTGAACAAAAGCCAGGTAGTCCAAGTCCAAGCCGCAACTCGTCACGCTCGTTTAACCTTTCAAGTGCGCAGAGATCGGCTGGCAAAGAGGGGTTAAGACAGGGGGTCGGTTTGGATCGGATCGGATCGGCATGACATAAGCGTTAAACGCAATTCCCACCGTTGAAGCGTGCCTCGCTGGGGTTAACTTAAGCAAACAAAAAAATAAACAAACAAAAAAATAATAAAGGAAATATACAGAGAAAAATTTAAGAAACAGATTAAGAGAAATATAAATGTATAATGAATACAATAAATAAAAATTAAAATTTAATATATATATTTTTATAATAAAAAGAAAAAATTCACAAAGAAAAACTTAAATTGAACCAGAACAATATTTAAAAATATGAATTAATCATTAATTATTAATTATACTTGTAAAATTATATTTATTCAATTCAATAATATATAAACAATTCATATATAAAAGCAAGTTTTAATTTAAAAAATATTTTTAAATGCTGTGAAAAGCCAAAGAAATTTCTAAAACAATTTCAAAATTACAATATTTACTTCTCTTAAGCTTAAAAAAAGATGAAAATCATGTAAAGTAAATATAAGTCGATCAATCAAATCCCAATTTTAAAAATACAATAATTAATTCTTTTGCATTTAAAGAAGAAGAAAATCATTCAAACTAAATTAAAATGAATCAATCAAAAACTTAGTAATTAAAAAATTAAATTCATTACAATCATATTTGTATCAAATGGAGTTAAAATTTTAAATAAAAGACTAAGGAGTATATGAAGTTATCTGCAGAATGACTATATTCTCTTTAAATCCCAAATAAAATGAATTAATATATTTAAGTATTTTAATTTATATCAATTTTTATTCATCTGTGAACGAAGTTTTAAGAAATACCATTTAAAATATATTTTTACTATTTAAAATATATTATTAAATATTATTTACAAAAATATATATGCCTTTACTAATTTATGAATTTTAGACAATTATTTTTAATTATATATATTTTAAATATTACTTATCTAATTATTGTTGCTCTGTGTACGACATTTTAGGGGTTATTTGATGTATATTAATTATTAACTATAATAAATATAATTTGTATATTATGTATCTCTATTTTATTGAAATATTTAAATTCCTGGTAATAGTATTTTTTTGCTCTGTGCATGAAATTAAAAGTGCACCTACCCTTAAAATAATACTCAACAGCCGCCACAATGGAGATACTTAATTTAAGCCCAAACAATAATGATATAATTATTTAACTCTGCGCAAATGTTGTGCCCTTTAATGCTTCGACTGCCCTCAGATGATGTCTAAGCTCTTAATTCAGTCATAATACAATGGCAATGTTACGATCTGATATTGTCTTTAATATATATATATATATGTATATATAAGTCACTTGTGGCATTCATGGGGCGATGAGTCAGACTAATTAAGCCTCTGCACTTTGAACGATCAAGGGGGTCAGATTTTATGGAAGATTTCGAATACAAAATTGCTCTTTTAATATGAATCACTAAGCCCTTTTGACATAATATGACCTTTGTGGTTAATCTTTGATGAAAATAAAATATGTTTAAAATCTAAATCATTAGATTTAAACTTTATTTAGTTCTCTTCTTAATTTTATAAACAAAATTATTCCAGAATATTCGTTTTCCATTAAATATTTTAAGACTTGCCTTGAAATTTAACCAAATATCAATTTCAAAGTTTTCAAAACTACAATATCTTTAAACATTTGTGTCATTTAATTTTACATGTGTGTTTAGCATTTTATATCTAAGGTCATTGGCTGTTAAAGATGAATTTAAAAAAATCATTCAAAATCCCGTTTAAAAAACATGCCAAATAAACACTTGAAATACAACAGAAACCGAAAACTTGTTAAGAGTGTGTAAATTCCGATCAATCTTTTGCGTTAGCCTTCAAATGGAAACCAATTTTCGAATGTCTGATTATATTTCGAAGCTCATACGAAGATTGTTTCCATCGAGTTTGTTTTTTTTTTTCAAATAGATAGAAGAAAATATTTGCCACTATAAAATGTCATTATTTTTCTTGTACTCCATTTTGTAGTTGTTTGTGGCTGACAGCGAGAAAACCCTTTTGATTGGACGCACAAGCGGAAGCGGAAATGGAAATGGAAGTTGGAAGCAAACCGCTAATGAGCCATCGGCACTTGACATTGTACCTGCAGAATAACGATCTCTGGCAATTAGGGTTTGTTTATTGACAATTGTCGAGAAGCCGAGAAGCGAAAAGGCACTCGAACTTCTGAAGTCAACTTCCAACTTCCATGACTCGAACGAAGCTCGCGATTCGATGTGTTGTTGTGTGTTTATATTTGTGTGTGTTATTAACACATATCTTTGTGCAATAAATAATAACCTTGCCAAATCGTTTGACTTCGTTTCGCTGCTTGGCAACACACACAGACACAGACACCGCCATGGAGATTGAGGCGGCAAAAGAGACAGCCACTAAAAGTTGCAGTTTGCAGACAACTTTTTGATTTTGATTCGGATTTTGATTTGGTTTAAGCCAGCGACCTGCTAGAGAATTAGCTGTAAACTCTGCATTTTTACGACACTCAGTTTATGTTTATGTTTCAATACCCTAACAGAGAGTGTGATTGCATTCTAAAATCACAGACTTTAAGAGGTTATATTCCTTTCAAAAATCTACCTACACTTTACAGAGATTTATCGGGAATAAGTAATATCGATAGGAACGAGTATATCGAAATTCTTGTATCACAAATAATATATAGAGATTGGAATATCTTATAGAACCAAAGAAGAAGTGGTTAAATTACATTGAAATTTATAATTGAAGCTAAATAGCGTTTCAAATCTAAAAGAAAAGTTCCTAAGTTCCCAAAATAAATATATCAAATCGATCGATAGTCATCTAAATATGCGATAAATATCGATAACCGTTTTTTTACAATTTTATTATTCCAATAAGTAGGATTTAAAGAATTAAACCTTCCAAAAAAAATGGGTCTCTTAGGTACCCCTTCCTTTCTCTCCTTAATTCCCCCGCTTGAACTTTGTCTGCTTTTCGAACGGAATTGGAGCATAGCTAAAAAATAAAAAATTAATACGACAAAGCGGCAAAACGACAGATCCGTTTGTCTATGAGAAATCACCAGAGTCTTGGGGCAAACATACAAAAAAAAAATAAATAAAATTAACATAATAAATAGCGCCATAAATATTAAACGCAAACTAGTTGCTGCAATTTATTTTTTTCCCCTCTTGGCCACAGGCGTTGTCGATTCCGATTTCTTAGCGCTTGTTATACAATTGGCTTAGCCCCTGAGCCGCAAACAATGCCTGACAGTGCCACACTCTCAGTCACTCTTAGCCGCTTTTAGCCACTTTCGGATAATTCAACGCACTCTTGGCCATCGGCCGAAGTCCTTCGAGTTAATTTCTGCTAATTGACGGAGTTAAGAAACGCAAGGCAATGCCAAAGATACACAGAGATATATAGCTTATCCGACATCCGAAGATAAGCAAATAGTAAAACGAACTTTGCCTTTCAAAGCCAAACTAGTTCAGCCGATCATTATTCTTATATGCTAATTCTGGAATCAAATAAAACCCACAAAGGCGAACATGACAAATGCAATGCAATTTTAATTTTAGCCTTTTTTTTTATTGATTTAATACACTTGGACATTAAAAGCGATTTTATTTAGCAATTAACTAGCATAAAAATGTGATATGAGAAGGCGTTAATTGGTGCTTTTGCTAATAAAAACGATATCTAGGCTAATTTTTATATACTATTTAATGTTTCTGAATCGAGTCGTTCATTTAAAATGGATTCTATAATTATAACATATTGTGGTTAGCATTAATAAATATTTTAAAAGTATATCTACACTTAAAAAAGAGGAAATTCGTAATTACTCTCTTAGATATTAAATATTTCCCCTTCCCTCTCAGGATTTCTACTTAAGACAAATGACCCAATTCGCTTTGCTTTCCTGCTCACAATTGATACTTTGTTTGCGCCAACTCATGG